GCTAGAACCAAGCACAGAAGAAGAATGAGTGGACCTCCACGAGATAGAACCAGAGCCGATACTGAAAGAGTATTTCTGGGACGACCGCTGAGTCACCTGGTTGTCGGCCCAAGAAGTGTCGGAGTGTCCTGTGAGTACAACTGAACCCCGTCCTCCAAGCACGAGCCCCATGCCCGATGTATTGCACAGGTAACGCAACATCCTCTTAGCAGCCCGCCGGTGCTCTGGTCGGTGTCTCTCGGGCGCAACGTAGCGCGGCAGGATGCTGAGAGGGTACACGAGGTCAGGTCGTGTGCATGTCATTAGGTACATGAGGCAGCCCACAAGCTTTGGATACTGACAACTCGGCTCTACGGACTCGTCCGAAGGTGGAGCTGAAAGCGAGTGGCCCGTAGGCAGAGGAGTAGGCTGTTGCGAGGAGAAACGAAAGCCAAAGCGCTGAAGGACCTGCTGCACTATGTGTGACTGAGTCAGAGTGATGGTGTGCCTTGTCCTGTCCCGAGTGATCTGCAAGCCAAGATAGTTGCCCAGCTCACCTAGGCCAGTGCAAGGGTGTCCCTTCTGCAGCTCCGCCTTCACAAAGGCCAGCGCCTCAGTGTCGGTAGTAGCAAAGACCAAGTCGTCGACGTATACGAGGATGTAGAACTCCAACAGGGAAGGGTTGGTGCACAGAAACAGTGACGGGTCAGCAGTCGAAGGAGCAAACCTAAGAGCCGCAAGTGTCGTCCTCGGTGTGTCATGCCACTTGCGGGGCTCTTGGCGAAGACCGTAGACTGGCCGCCGTAGGCTCCACTGGGTACCCTCAGGAAACGACCCAGTAAAGCTAGGTGGACGGCGCAGCCAGATCTCCTCGTGAAGGCTGCCCTGCAAGAAAGCTGTGGAGAAGTCGAAGGAGTGCAGCTCGTAGTCACGTTGTGCTGCAACGTGCAGTAACACCAGAAGAGTAGTCATCTTCGGGGTGGGAGAGAAGGTCCGGAAGAAGTCGACCCCCTGTCGCTGACTGAAGCCTCGAGCAACGTAACGTGCCTTGAAGGCAGGCAGAGAACCTGGCGGCAGCTTCACTCTGAAAATCCACATGCCATCGACTATGTTCACCCTAGAAGGGGGAACCTCGTCGATGTAGGTGCTTGTGGACTTCCAGGAAGCCATCTCTGTCGAGAGACTTACGGGTGGAGAAATTTGACTTAAGGGAATGAAGGTACAAAGAAGTTATAGCGATAGTTCTAGCACAAGAAACAGAATGTACAACACCTGGACTAAAAATAAATAAATTATATAGAAATATAGTTTGACTATCTCTGCGTTCCTGCTTGTCTGCCACTGAGAGGAGTACTCACCCGTGATCGCCTCTGCGTAAGAGCGCGGGGTAGGGATGTCTGGTGCATTCGGGTCTCCTTCAGGGCAAAGCGGCATGGACGCGAGACGAGGTAACACGGCCACGAGACACTCAAGCTCAAACTGCTTGTCCTCAAGGACGTTACTGCCAAGGGCAGGCTCACCCCCGACGGACGGAGGACAGACAGACTTAGACTCAGTAACAAGACTCGCGACGTAGTCGAGACGAACGGTAGCAGCAAAGTCTACTAGCTGAGTGACACTGGTAGACGCAGCAGTAGACTTAAAGGAAGGGTTAGTGACAAAAGTGGCGAGGAGACGAGTGACAGTCGGACTAGCAGCACGAGCAAGGTCGGACTCAGGGTCAGGAACGTCAGGAAGAGAGGACGTCGGAGGAGAAGGCAGGGCAATACGCTGTGGAACAGTGGAAGGACGAAGTGCCATAGTATGCGTGCTGGGGACAGGTGGAGGACTAGGACGACAAGTACGACTGATAGTGCGAACAGGGGAGGCAGGACGAGACTCAGGCTCATGACGCTCTGCCAGGGAGCCTGTCTGCGCAGGGTAAGGAGAAGGAGCAGGCAGTGGACAGCCAGGCAGTAACTGCGTCTGTGACTGGTCAGACGGAGGACACATAAGAGGCGGAGTAAGGCCAGTGGAAGACGGAAGACTAAGAACCTGACGGAGTGCCCAGGCGGGTGGCGGCAGGTACGATATTTCAGAGTGCGTTGGTGTAACAACATTAACGATACCTAGCAACTTCTTACTGGGTATGAGCAGACTCCTTCACAAAAGACCTCAAAATCGCAAATTTGGTACGCGCCTGTGGCTACCGGTTGACAAATTCGAGCATCGAAGCTGCGTGCCTCACAGAGGGTGTTCCTACCCACACCTCGTATCAGAAACCCCTTGTTTCAGCTTCGCGTGGTGAAATACATTTCAGTGTGTTAGACTGCGGTTGGATGCGTTTTAGTGCGGTTCGACCCGAATCTGATACGAGGTTGCCTGGCAAGAGGCTGTAGGAACACGCTCACATTAGCGGTGCAGTACAATCGACTGCACAACCATGAGGCGATACTTTCTAGACATCAAACTGACGAACCTTGTTCTCAACCTTATAAAAAAGAGTGTCCATTTTGCACACCCTTACAGAAAGAGGGTAATAAACCGTGATACATTGGTTGTTCGTTAGCCAATCTGAATGCTTTCACTGCTGAACTTTTAAGAATGAATTACTTCTTTACTGACAACCAGAACCTTACAGCACAAGAATGTGTTAAAGTTATGTATACCCTGCTTGCTGTTTGTTCTAGTGTAGTTACATTGGTGGTGCACCTCCTTTGCTACTTTCATATATCTTGTTTGTGCACCATAGTGAACGCCCTTTTGGCCAATTTCTCTCGCCACTCATGCTACTCACAACACCTCAAACCCTAACTATGGCTCCACTTAATCTCCTATTTTGACTGCATGGATCAGGTTTTGGCTCCAGCCCACAATGGCGACCGTGAGACTCACACCCTACAATTGACAAGCATTGCAGGCCTTGCGACAAGCCCCCGGTGACCCTGGGGTTCCAACCATGTACCCCTTGTATTGCTCTGATGTGCAGTGGCCCTCCTTGACCCACGCCTCACAGCTGCACAGGGGGGAAGGAGGAGGCAGCTGTGAAGGTGCACAAGGGTGGAGGGGGTGGAGCAGGGTGTGTGGCAAGAAACGTCAATCTCCCCTCATGAAAGAGAGGTAAAAGAGACACATTAAAGTTCAGTCAGCTATTAGGGCAGGAGGCAAGCAGGTGGGGCAGCAGCACCTAGAGAAACACTCTATGTCAGAACTATGCTCTAGGCTGTAGTGGGGCACTCCTTGTGGGGTACAGCCCAACTAGGTTTTGCTATACAAACCCTGTACTGCTGTCATTCTAGTCATTCATTCTTTCCCATTCCTGACATGGTTTCAGAGCAGGTTCCCTAGTGGGAACGTTTTTTTTTAAGGCCCACCACGATAATATTTTTCCTGCCCTGCCTGAAGCGCGCCTCGCGCCTGCCTCACCTGCGCCGTCGCGCGCCCTGCCCTACTGCCGCCCGTAGCGGCCCTGCCGCCCGTAGCGGCCCTGCCCTCTCGGCCCGTCGCGGCCCTGCCCTGTCGCCGCCCGTCGCGGCCTGACCTAGCCGCCCGTCGCGGCCTGACCTAGCAGCCCGTCGCGGCCCTGCCCTGCTGTCCCCTGTTGCGGCCCTAACCTCGCCGCCCGTCGCGGCCCTGCCCTGCCGCCACCCGTCGCGGCCCTGCCCTCAGCCGCTCGTCGCGGCCCTGCTCTACCGCCGCCCCGTCGCGGCCCTGCCCTGCAGCCGCCTTGTCGCGGCCCTGCCCTGCTGCCGCCCCGTCGCAGCCCTGCTCTGCCACCGCCTCGTCGCGGCCCTGCCCTACAGCCGCCTCGTTGCGGCCCTGACCTAACCGCCCGTCGCGGCCCTGCCCTGCACCCGCCCCTGGTAAGCGCGCCGCCGCGCCCGCCTGCCTGCCGCGCCGCGCCCTGCTGCAGCCCGCGCGTCGCGCTCTGCTGCAGCCCGCGCGTAGCGCCCTACTGCCCTGCGCGTCGCGCCCTACCCCCTGCCCGTTAGGCCCGCCGCGGACCCTCCCTTCGCGCCGCCACGCCTGCCAGTTACGCCCGCTGCCGCGCCCGCCCGTTAGGCCCGCCGCGGGCCCTGCCTTCGCGCCGCCGCGCCTACCCGTTCGGCCCGTCACGGGCCCGCCCGTTCGCCCCTCCCGCACCTGTCCGCTACGCCCGCCGCGGGCCCGCCCCTTGCGCCCGCCGTGCCTGCGTTTTGCGCCCGCCGCGGGCCTGCACTCGCTGCCCAGCGCCACCCTGCTCGTGCGCGCTGCTGCCCGCGCCAGCGCCCTGCACTGCCAACGCGCCAGCGCCCTGCCGTGCACGCACTGGCGCCCTGCCCTGCCCTTCCCGAGCCGCCTCTGCAGCGCCCTGTGCGCCCTGCTCAACCCTAAAATATATAATTTAAGTAATTAATTAAAACAAACAAAACAAAACAAAACACCCTTGGTGCTTCTGCCCTAGGAGCTACTGCCTGCTACTGGCCGCACGCCGCCCTGCTCTGGCCGCGCGCCGCCCTTCCCTGACCGTGCACCGCCCCGACCTACCCTATTGCCTCCTCGCCGCCTTCCATTCCTGACACTCTATGCTCACCATGGAGGTTACCGTATCCCACCCTGCAAGGCCCCGATGACTCATGTAGCCCTCACACACACAGATGCCCCGCACCTTATTCAGTGCACATGCTTGCGCTGGCAGGCAGGCAAGGTGGCAGCACCCAGTAGCACCACCATGTTGCTCACCTGCATCCATTCTAACGCCCCTCCATCCCCTACATTCGCTACCCACACAACCACCACTCACTACGCGTTGCTGTCCTGGCAGGCAGCAACACAACATCACCCAGAGGCACCGTGACATCACCCATGCAGATCCACTTGGGTGTGCCGACCACTTGGTGCCCTCTACCACAGGGCACACGAGGTGCAGCGAGTGGCAGCATCACTCAGTGGCACAAGGAGAAGTTCTATTCACACAACCAAGGCTTAGTGGCACTCACTATGCGTTGCTGTCCTGGCAGGCGGCAATGACAGCATCACCCAGCGGCAGTGTGACATCCCCCATGCGAATCCACTTGGGTGCCAAACACTTGATGCCCTCCACCACGGGGCACGGGTGGTGTAAGGAGGTGGGGTCGGGCGAGCTGTCTGGATGCATGTTGAAGAAGAGTAGTGCATCGCCCTTGATGGGCTTCACTGGTGCGGAGGGATGGGGAAGGGTGGGGATGGAGGACAGAGGGATAGATAGGGAGGGGTGGGAAAGGAGGGAGGGGCAGGGAGAGAGGGTTGGAAAGGGATGGGCAGAGAGGGAGGGGCAGGAAGGGAGGGTTTGAGTGCAGTGCCCTTATCCCCTCACCTGCTCTCACTTCCATTTCCTTTCCGTTCCCTCTGCACACCACTCTCACCATCTGCATTCCACTCTCACCATCTGCACCCCACTCTCACCATCTGCACCCCACTCTCACCATCTGCACCCCACTGTCACCATGTGCACGTGCAACCACGACTCGTCCATGACTTAACATCTGGCAATCCAGCCTCAACAACCCCACCCCCAACCCCATCCCCACCCAAAACCCCACCCCCAACCCCACCCCCAACCCCACCCCCACCCCCACCCCCAACCCCACTCCCAACCCCACCCCCACTCCCACCCCCAACCCCACCCCCACCCCCAACCCCAACCCCACTTGCAACCCCACCCCCACCCCCACCCCCAACCCCACCCCCACCCCCACCCCCACCCCACCCCCACCCCACCCCCACCCCCACCCCCAACCCTACCCCCGATCCCACCCCCACCCCCGCCCCCACCCCCACCCACCCCAGCACCCACAAGCTAAGAAGCCCTTGGCACAGTCAGGCCAGGAGTCATCCCCTCCTGGAAGCACCATCTCCCCTCCACCAACTCCCACACCTACTTCTCCCCCACGGACTTGTGCTCCCACACCTACTTCTCCCCCACGGACTTGTGCTCCCACACCTACTTCTCCCCCACGGACTTGTGCTCCCACACCTACTTCTCCCCCACGGACTTGTGCTCCCACACCTACTTCTCCCACACTGAGTTGAACTGCTTGGCAGGTACATATGCGTCACTGCAGAGAGATGAGGTGCGGGGTGAGACAAACGTAGGCTCCTTATGACCAGCTGGTCACTCTCGGGTCAGTCTCGGGTCAGTCTGGGGTCAGTCTGGGGTCACTCTCAGGTCGTTCTCGGTTTACTCTCAGGTCATTCTCAGGTGATAATTGAGTTTATTTAGGTGTGTTTCATGCTCGTGATAGGCTGGAGGTTGTCATGCGAGAGACCGAATGCCTGGCAGCGGCGTTCTCAATACTGCATGCATGCTGCATGCCATACGATGCCCTGCCATGGTGTTAACCAAGGTGGCAACGCGGGACTGATGGAGACCGACACTCTACAACGTCGATCCCTTCTTCCTCCCTCTTCTCATCACTCACCACATCTCTCCCACACCAATTTCCCTCTGCCCCTCCAAAGCTCTCCCACCTGCATCTCGTATTGGCAACACTTCCCCTTACCACTCACACATTTCAAAACAATTATGTTTTCACATCTGTCCCCCTCTTTTTCTAATCACCCTCCAAGTGTGCATAGTAGGCGTCACTCTGTCATTGTCTCTCCTTCCCGCACTCCATTCCCATCCTCTTTCCTATCCCTTCCCCCATCCTCTCCCCTATTTTCTTCCCCTACAACGTAGCCTTCCGCTTCTCCATCCCCATCCCCATCCCCATCATCATCCTTTTCCCCCTGCCCAGAGGTGGGCATGGTGCAACCAGTGACCTCGTCACTCGCCAGTCTCATTGCTCTACCGTTTTGCTCCTCTGTACCCCACTGCCGTTGCTTCTCCCTTCCCCCATTCCCAGGTCTTCACGGTGCAGCCAGCAACCTCCGACTCCCACCGTCTCTCCCTTGTCGTTCTTACTGCCCTCTCTCCCTATCTCTCCTCGCCTGCCCCGCCACAATCTCTGCTGTCAATCTTCACCCATAGGAGTTGAAGAATCACCCTGTCACGCCCTCCCGCTGCCTCTCATTCTTGCGGTCGTGTGTGGTAGTGGTCACCGGTCCTTTGGACCAACAGGCCAGTTCGTCCAACCGGTCCATTGGACCAACAGGCCAGTTGGTCTAACCAGTCCATTAGGCCAATTGGCCAGTTGGTCCAATCGGTCCATTGGACCAGCAGGCCCGTTGGTCAAACCGGTCCATTGGACCAACAGGCCAGTTCGTCCAATGGTGAAGTGAGTCCGTTCCCTGCTCTTTCCTCTCCCGCCCTTCCTTCTCCCACCCTCCCCTCTCCCATGCACTTTCACCCCACCCCCTCCCCCTCACTCTCAGTCTCGCGGCCATTGCGGGAGTGGGTGCGTTAAGTGTCCCTCCTCTCCAGGCGCTCAGCGGCCTCTCCAGCGCATCCGGAGTCCCGGCTTGCTGCTATCGTGGAAGTGGGTGAGGTCATTGCCTCCTTCCCTTTTTAACACCCTCAGCTGTTACATCGCATCATGGCAGGGTGTCCATACTCGTTCATGCTCTTTCAGCATGGCAGGGTGTCCATGCTCGTTCATGCTCTTTCAGCATGGCAGGGTGTCCATGCTCTTTCGTGCTCTTTCATCATGGCAGGGTGCTGTTTAAATGGGAAGGAGGCAATGGGAAGGAGGCAATGGGAAGGATGTCACTTCTCCCATCTCAACCTTGAATGCCCATGCTCTTTCATTCTCCCTCTCTCCCTTGCATCCCCCCACCACCTAAACCTACCCATACCGTGGGGGTGGGTGGGGTGGCACACCACCCCACCCCACCCACCCCCATCCCTCTCCCACACCACCTCACCCCACCCTCACCTTCCCAGCTCTTCTGGCGGATCACTACAGTTGCACATGTAACTTCCCCTTAGAAGTGATCACCTCTCCACTCTTCCTCTGCAAGCATCTTTGTTGCTTCTCCTCTCCTCCATCTTCCCCCCTACCCTCCAGCGCCAAGGCGTGCATCTCTCCTCATTCCCATTTTCTCCCCTCCATCATCCCCCCCGCCACGCCCCCCATCACCCCCCAGCTCTTCCAGCGGATTACGGGGGGGATGATATGAGGTGAACCTCTTCTCTTCCCGCCCTACCTCCTCCCCAGCCTTCTGGGTTGCCACGGCACTGCCACTCGTTTTGAATCCCTCCTGTGACATGTCCCTCCTGCCACTCGTTTAGGTGGTGAGAACAACGCAGTGCGGTGGGGGGTAAGGAAGTGATATGAAGGATCATGCAGTGTGTGTGAAGGAGGGGAGGAAAAGTTGGGGAAGTCCGTGCCTTCTGCACTACCCTCACACACACTCTGACCGCAAAAGCAATGAGAGCGAGTGCCCTCTATTCCCCACGCTACCATCTGTCCTTCCCTATCCTCACTGCCGTCACACACCTCCCCACCCTTTTCATTTCAACCGCAGCAAGCTCTATTTGGTTGGGCAGCCACGACGCCAAGGTATGCGACTGTTATAGCAGGCCCCAAATCCTTGTGACAGCGCTCTGCCACCTCTGGCCCTTCATCATCCTCGCCTTACCTGCCCTTCCTTGCTCTTTCCTGCCTTCCCTGCCTTGCCTGCCTTCCCTGCCTTGCCTGCCTTCCCTGCCTTGCCCACTCTTTCCTTCTGTCAGCCCTCCCTCCCGTCTACAAGTATGATCCAGCAGGAGCTAAGCTAAGTTAGCCCTCTATTGGCATTAGGAAAAAATTATGGGTAGTGTGCTCTCTATTGACCTCTCGTGTGATTGCTGCTCAACAGAAGTCTGCTGCGGCTGTTCAATAGTTGCAGCACGTTCCCGTCATCCTTACGTGTCCATGGATGTGTGCTGCATGTCACGACCATGTGTCCACAAAGTTTTTGCATCCAAAGTAACCGCTGCTGGTTCTTATCAGTTACTCCATGGAAAATTGTGATCAAGTGTGGCTCATTCCAAGGTGGTCTCATGTGCCAAAAGCCTACCTCAGCTCCTCACACAGCACCATCATTTTGGTAGAGGAATCATCTCTAACAAGAAAAATCTTGTGCCCTAATTGGCTTTCAGCTACCAACGAATAAGATTCACACTTCTTGTCCCCTGAATCGAGCTGCTCATAGTGGTACTACTTTTTGCACTGCGCTCTGAGCTTAAAATAAAACTTGTATTGCATGATGGAACATCGAGTTTGCCTACAAAAAGGTGTGTCAGAAACCAATCCGTGTATGATATATATTGTGGAGTATCATACCAGTTCAAGAAACTTGCCAGGGTATCCACTTAGCAAAACAACACACAACCTGACAGATGTATCTGCTAGCACAGCATACCGGTACTAATAACTTCAGATTGACCCATGCAAGCATTGCACAACACCATGAAGCCACAATACACATTCCTAACCCTGAACGAGCCACAGGTCCGGGAGAGGCATGGTAGTAGTTGACCAGGGCTAATTTTATCAGTGTAAATCACCCTGATACACTGATAATCAGGGTGATTTTTGGTATTCACACTGATGCCTTAGGGTAATTTTTTCTGGAGCTTAGATTGTCCTGATATGCCAGGGTTTACGTTTAAGGCACACTGTCACCCCAGGGTTACCTTTCTTCTTAGCGAGTTTTACCCTGAAGCGAATACCACAACCCCCCTCCTCCCCCAAATTGCCCTCGCACCTCTGTCCCCCTAGTTTAGAAGATTCAATAGAGAAGTATGTAAGAATAAACTAACGTTAAAGTGGTCCGATCAGTAGATTGGTCTTCGGAAGGATGAAAACCCGGGATCGAATCCTAGCTCCAGTAGATTTGTCTTTTTGTTCAGAATTTCAGTAGAAACACTTCATCAGGGTTCTGAAAATTGTTACACTGTGGCCTAAGGGTAAATTTCTTGAAACTATGGAAAACCCTGATGGAAAAGTTTTTTCTTAAGGGGTCAAACTGATAATCAGGGTTTTGCAAAGGTGCAGGACTGATGATAAGGGTTGCTTAAAACAAAAAATTAGCCCTGTAGTTGACCTGCCAACTCACGTCATGAAAAAGGCCGGGGTGGGCTGAAAAGGCATGGGTGGAATGAAAAGGCATGGGTGGAATGAAAAGGCATGGGTGGAATGAAAAGGCATGGGTGGAATGAAAAGGCATGGGTGGGATGAATAATGCAAAAAGAGCAGAGATTAGCAAACGAAACAGTGGGAGTTGGAGGCACTGAGGAAAGGCTGTTGTTGATGTTGAAGCGACAAAAGGAGGAGTGAAAGGGTGGAAAACAGGAGTGAAAGGACGGAAAACAGGAGTGCAAGGGCGGAAAACAGGAGCGCAAGGGCGAAAAAACAGGAGTGCGGCAAGGGCGAAAAACAGCAGTGCAAGGGTGGAAAACAGGAGTGTAAGGGCGGAAAACAGGAGCGCAAGGGCGAAAAAACAGGAGTGCGGCAAGGGCGGAAAACAGGAGTGCAAGGGCGGAAAACAGGAGTGCAAGGGTGGAAAACAGGAGTGCAAGGGCGGAAAACAGGAGTGCAAGGGTGAAAAACAGGAGAGGAAGGGGGGGAAGCAGGAGTGTACAGGTGGAAAGCAGGAGTGCAAGGGTAGGTATGAGAGCAGTGGGGTGTGTGAGGGGGGCAGTGGTGGGTATGAGAGGAGTTGGGGGTATGAGAGGGGTGCGGGGAATGAGGGGAGTGGGGAAGTATGGGAAGAGTGGAGGGTATGAGAGAAATCGTGGGTGCTTAGGGAGTGAGGGGTATGGGAGTAGGGGATAGAAGAGGCGTGAGGGGTATGGGAGTAGGGGATAGAAGAGGTGTGAGGGGTATGGGAGTAGGGGATAGAAGAGGCGTGAGGGGTATGGGAGTAGGGGATAGAAGAGGAGCGAGGGGTATGAGAGGAGTGGGGCCTATAACAGGGGTGAGGGATAAGAGTGGAGGAGGTATGACAAGAGTGGGGTTTTGGAGAGCAGTGGGGGGATATTTCAGAATGCATATCTCAGAAGCCGTCTCTCATATTCAATCTCTCATAAGGCATTCATCAGAGTGAATATCTCTGCTGTAGCCAGGAGTGCAAGGGGAAATCCGTGTTGAGATGGGCTTGAAAAAACTTATTTCAAAGGTGAGAGGGAAGTTAGGAGGCATGGAAACTGAGAGGACTGTTGGGCAGGCAGGTGTGCAAGGGAAAGAGCTCGCCCCGGCCAAGCTGCTCTCACCCGCCCACCCTGCTCTCGCCCACCCAGCCTGCCAGGCGAGTGCAGCAAGGGAGCGAGCATGAGCGCCCCTCATCGCCGCACTGCCACACAGTTGGCATACACACGTCGTGGCTCACGTGGCATCACATAGATGGACATACTGCACGGGTACATACATGGTACATCCTCGTGAGCCTTGCCCCCGCCCCTTCTGCAAACCCCTTCCAGCCTCCCCCGAACCCCCCTAGTTCCCCCAACCCCCCTCCTTCCCCCCTATCCCCTGAAGTCCCTTCACTCGCTTCCCTGCACGATCCCCCTCCGCCTCCCCTCGTCCCCATACTCATTGGTCCCCAGCAAGGACGTCTCGCCACTTTGCCGTGATGCCGCGTGCATGGATGAACCCAAGGCGTGCAATCCTAACGACTTTTGAGGCGCCTCGAGAGCATGCAAACGCACGCGCGCCCAGGCATGTGATCCTCGCGCGCCCAGGCATGCGATCCTTGCACGCCCAGGCATGCGATCCTTGCGCTTCAGAACCCAAGTGTTGGGCATGACAGCAGGGACGCCGATGGGATGGGAGGAGATGCGGTAAGTGAGCGGGGACCACGTGATTGGCAGAGGCCGAGAGGGGTTGGGACCGTTTGAGAGGGGGTTGGCACGAGAATCGGACAGGACAGCAAACGCTTGGAACGGCGTTCGGTGAAAACGAGGGACGCAAACGGTTGTGTGCGCTCGTCTCACGTGCGTCGCGATGTTGACTCTGATCTCCCTCGGTTCTCTGTGAAAGCCACCTCACACACCATCGCACAGCTTAGACGGTACAAACTACTGCTCGCACCTCACGCGCGCATGCAGGCTGGGGAAGGGCAACGAAGCACGTCGGCTTCTAAGGCGCCTGGCGCACGTGTCGGATCCAACGGCCAGTAAAACGCTACGGGGCCATTAGTTTTTGAGTTGCGAGTTTTTTTAATGTAGGCTCGTATTCCGGATCCGCTGCCATAAAACCACTGTGTCGCGGGTACCGTAGGGAACGAGGATATGAGATTTGGACGGACAGAGCCGGACGGAGGGAGGTGGATTCCCGGCTCGCCTTGCACTGCAGCCGAGAAGCCGAGTCGCGTCTGGGTTCCTCTTCGGACAGTGCATTGGACTGCGGTCCTGCTGGTCATTTCGATCACAGTCTGCGACGCTACCCTCTGCGATATACCCTCTGCGATGTTACCCTCTGCGATATACCCTCTGCGACGCTACCTTCTGCGACGCTACCCTCTGCGACGCTAACCTCTGCGACGCTAATTTCTGCGACGCTACCTTCTGCGACGCTACCCTCTGCGACGGTAACCCTGCGACGCTACCCTCTGCGATGCGGGCTTGGGACAGAGCGACGGAGTTGCTAACGGCGCTGGCAGAGTCCACTGCGACTTGCATTGGGAGGAAAACTGTATGCCTCTTATATCTACTTCGTCGCCGCGTCTGCGACAGTACCAGCAACAAGCGATCGCCATGTTGTTATCCGTCGAGTCTAGCGCAACGGCGAAAGTTTGGAGTGGCGGCAGGCATGGTAGGAAGTGACACCAATGTGGTGGTGTAGTGCTTGCCTCGCTCTACATAGAAACGCGAAATTCGCATCTCGAAGAGTCGAACTCGCGTCTCATAGATGGGCCAAATGACCCTGTGTGCAGAAAGCGAGCTACCAAACCCAGCCAGGACAGAATGACACGTGGCACTGTAAGCCCATGGGACATTACAGCACGTGTTGAACCATTGGGAACATAAACTCCACCTCGACATGATTCAGGCATACTTACCTGGGCGGGGTCTATCGGTGATCACTAAGGCCGATGGCCTAGGCGTGGGCCCGCCATTGCACTTCGGCCGGCCCTACTCCTAGCACGCCGGAACTCCCGGTGATGCACGTCATTATTTGTGGCAGCGGGGGCTC